ATATAATCTAAGGGTTAACATCATTAACATATATTAGGAACTAGAAATAAATGATACTATCTATCTAGTTCCTCAATGCGCGCTCTCAACAAACATTACTCTATACCTGAAAGGGGTTATCAAGAAAAATAAGGAAAACAACCCGTTAGCATATAATGCTAAGTATAAACCACTCAGTCTTGTAATATAAGTATATAGATATATAGATTGGGAAAATAGTTTGTTTGACATCATCATTCATCATATAACACGTAGGTTCATAGATAGATAGAGCAAGTAAGCCACTGAGTATATGTAACACCCCATGTTACGATCTTCAAGCCTGGATTAATTATGTAATTAATTCCGCTAAGAATAGTTAAAAAAGATTTAATTTAGTTAGAATCTCCATAATTAATTAATGTGGTTCACAATGGACCGTGAACCCTTGTCTATATTAAAGACCTTAAACCTGCTAGGAATAAAGAGAGTAGACCTTCTACTATTCAGATTCAAATTAGGAATCCTAGACCTATATATCTGTTAGGAATAAAGAAAGTAGACCTTCTACTATTCAGATTCTAATTATGAATCCTAGACCTATATATCTGTTAGGAATAAAGAAAGTAGGCCTTTACTATTCAGATTCTAATTAAGGATCCCTAATGTAACATCCTGTGTTACGGCCTTCAATCCCGAATTAATTATTTAATTAAATTTCGCTAATAATAATTAAAAAGAATTCCCTTTAATTAATTAATGTGGTCCACCATGGATCGTGGACCCTTGCCTAAACTAGAGTCTTAAGCCTATTAGGAATAAAGAGAGTGGACCTTTCACTATTCAGATTCTAATTAGGAATCCCAGACCTATTAGGAATAAAGATAGTAGGCCTTTATACTCAGATTCTAATTAAGAGATCCTAGAGCTATATACCTGTTAGGAATAGAATGTAGGTATTTACTATTCAGACTCTGATTAGGATTCCTAACTCTATAAATAGGGGATTAGAAAGCAATTAAAACCCTTACCACCCATAGTTATATTACACGAAATTATTCCTAGGGGATTCCCCACCACCAAGCCTAGGGAGATCAAACGGATGGAAATCTTAGAGAAGAACCTTAATAGCCAAGGGAGGATTAATTAAGGCCAAGAGGTAACCCATGTCTCAACAAAACCTATTTTCCTTGCTATATCTTATTCATTGGCTCCTTTGATATATGATTCTGTGCTTGAGTCTTGATAGAGCTTTGCCTAGGGATTATATCGTGTTTATATGATAGTCTTGATGTTTATGTGATAATCTCGATGTTCTTGATACCATGATAAATTATATGAATGATCTTGTATTTTGATTATGTCTAGAGCCTTAGTGTTTTACGTAGATTTCATATTATGATGTTCTTGGTATATTTGGGGTGGGATTTCGCATGATCGGGTGTTGATTCTAGCCCAGGACTTGTGTCTAGGACTTGCATATAGATTTCTTGATGTTCTTGTGGTTCCGGATGCTCCTGAACCGTTATATAATTAACGTTAGGTCCTGGCATGTTTAGGAGTCATGTTTGAACGTATTGATTGTGATTCTTGGTTTAATTTCGTTAATTGAATACGTGGTATTATCGTTATGTGTTTGAATGTGTTTGGACATGGTTTTGGGTTCCATAGGGGATCCCGAGACCATAAAGTTGTCTGTGTATCAGTGGGGGTAGGTTGGGGGACTGACCACCCATCACCTACCCGCTGCCCGTTTTTACTGTTCCAACGGGCAGTCGGCGGGCGGTGGTCTATCCGCCGGCCACCCGTTGGAATAGTAACCTGTGATACCCCATATTTTTTTGGGTACTATGTAAGGACCGTATGTGCGTACGGAGTTGGTTTTATTAAATTCTCCTATCCTTTATTTTATCATTTGGTCTCCAACTCAAAGATAATATCATACTAAACCCTATTATTATATTTAGCCTACTAATTCTTTCTAAATTTAATTGACCCGTATTTTTACACCTAAACTTCCTAATATGATTTTACTTCTATTATATTATATTATAATAAATAATAAATATATTATTATGCCCTAATTTCTCCTAATCATTCCTAATTATTATTATTATTATTATTATTATTATTATTATTATTATTATTATTATTATTATCATTATCATTATTATTATCAATATTATCATTATTATTATTATTATTATTCTCGTAAGTATCGTTAACATTCTAGTCCTAATCCTTCTCTTGTACCTATATTTACATACGGCATGACGGCAAATGAAGCAAAAGAAAGAAAAAACCTAGTCAACTACAACCTTCCTTCTTCCCTCTCTCTATTCTTCTTTTCCGTTAAAAGTGGATTATTCGTTGATGATGGACGGTGGTGTCCGGCGGTATGGACTGGCGGTGGCGTAGCATGAAATCTGCAAGATGAGGTTTGTTATTATAATTAACGAAGCTTGATGATGATGAATAAGATTGGCTATGATGTTATATTGGTTTATGAATAATTATAGGACGATGATGGTGGATAATGATTGTGATAATGAATTCATGATAAGGTTTGGTGGTGATGATTCGGCAGTATGAGGATGATAATGATTTTAGAATGATGATGAAGTATGCTGTTCATGTTGGGATTTCTTATGGGTAATGATATGATTAACTGATAATGGTGGATTATTGATGGATGGATAATGTTTTTACGGTAATAATAATAATAATTATTATTATTATAGTAATAGTATTAGCTAGTAATATTATTAGAATTTGATTGATTCGCAGGTTTCTTATTATGGTGATTAGAATGCTATATTAAATGTGGATAGTAATTTTGAGCTTTTGAGGTAAGATTTTATGTTCACCAAAAATTATCTTTTTCCTGTAAATATTTTACGTTGTGTGAATATGAGTATGATATCTATGATGTGAGTTATAATGTTCATGTGATCACAAGTGCATTATAATGTTGTAAGTAGTGATTCTCGAGCTATCGAGAATGGGCTTCGACATGTCGAGCCTTGTGTGTGTAAATAGTTGGCTTGAAAAATTTTGGTGTATACACACGTGATGAAATTTGTATTACCTTGTGGTGTAAAAATGACTTTGGATAAATTATGTGGAGAAAATTATATTTTTGGAGAAATTATATATTTTGGAGAAAATTCTATATTTTGGGGAAGAGTATTTATTTGTGGAAAAATAATGAAATTTTAAGAAAATAATATATTATGTGGTGTTCAGTAAATGTGTGTACTGTTCACTTGGACCAACTACTACTCATTGGGCTTGGAATCCCATGAGGGTGTATCACTTAGGTTATGATCTAGTTTCCAAATTGTTTGAGTGGTAGTAGGTAGGAAAACCTAACTACTTGGATCATATACTACCCAGTGGCTTAGAATCTCCTGGGGGTGTGCACATAGGTTTTAGTCCAGATTCTAAGTGAAATGCGATGGCGTTTGTTACTTCTCCACTTATAAACAGGGTTGCAAAAATTCCGTCTAGGCACCGAGTAATCGGCGCCTAGGCGCTAGGCGCCCCTAGGCCGTGGCGATTTCCCCCCTAGGCTCCCGCCTAGGAAACCGGCCGCCTAGGCGCCTAATTCGGCCGCCTAGCGCCTAACTCGGCCGATTACGCCGAGTTAACTCGACAATTTCTGTCGAGTTAGCCGAGTTAACCCGGCCGATTCGACCTTGCTAATTTTTTTCATTTATATAACATATATATATATATATATATATATATATATATATATATATATATATATATATATATATATATATATATATATATATATATATATATATATGTATGTATGTATGTATGTATGTATAATATGACATATATGCACCTACACACGTGCACTGTTTTCTATTTTTTCAGTTAGCCGCCTAGGCGACTGCCTAGGCCGCTTAGGCCCCGCTTAGGTCGTCTAGGCGCTACTCTACCGCCCGACTAGTGCCTATTGCAACCATGCTTATAAATATTATTAATTCTCTCTACAAAGAAAAGTATAACTCCACATGTATTTTGGAAGAGTATAAAAGTATATATTATTTTTGAAAATATAAAATCCAAGCCATTATTTTACGGGGTGAAGTGGAACTTACTTAGCTTATGCTAATTTTTGTCTACTCTCTATTTTTGTGTCAAAATTATTTTTACAGGTGAACATAAATAAAGGAATTTGAGATGAATTCAAGTTGAGCAGGAATTAAATTGACTCATTGGAGATTTGATATTTTGAGAGTAAATGATTGTAATGTTATTTGCAGTTTATGCATTAAGTTGAATTTGGATTATTCAATTTAACTTGTATTATTAGCCTTAGCGTTTGGGTATAAGAGAGATACCTGAGCGTGGCGGTAACACCCATTTCTTTTGGTTAGTTAATGCTTCCGCTATGTAATTAGTGAATTTTCCAATTAAGAAAGTATAATTGTAAGGAAAATTTGATTATGAAAATGGGGGTGTTACATAACCCGCCGCCGGCGGGAGGACCACCCGTCACCTACCCGCTGGAATCCCGGCGTGGTTCGTGGTGATTTTCCCCGTTTGATGTCTCCCCATGTCCCGTTGTGTTCCGTTGTACCCCGTTTGTCGTGTATGAGTCTCGTTTGGTGTTTTAGGCATCGTTCTAGGCAAGGTTATCAAGGCGGACTTTCTAGGCGAGATGCCACCGACTGCCTAGTCGACTTTGTCGACTAGGCGATGAGTATTAAATAAATAAAAAGATATATATATTGAAAATATCTTCTCTTTGGCAGCCTTTTTGCTGGCATATTTACTTCAAGTAGATGAATGGTTTTTCCTAGAATAGTGAAAAGTCTATTATTTATTGTATATTGAAAATATCTTGTCTTGGGCAGCCTTTCCACAACCCTATTTACTTCAAGTTGTCTTGAGAAGATGAATAGTTTTTCCTAGGGTGGTGAGAAGTCTAGTATATATTGATAACATATCAGAGTGAGGGAGTGGGTTTTGCTCGGAACAGGAGGATGACGCCGGAGCTTGAACCGCGCCGCCATCAGAGCCACCATGCGCCGCCGCTGTGCCGCTGCTCCGACACCACGCGCCAGCGCGTGAGGCAGATTCTGGCGACTTCTCCGGCTAAAAATTACACCGGTCAACTCGCTTTAGTGTGTAGGTTCTGCCCATGTATGTTTTGTGGAGTTTTGGGTTGTATTCTACACTTAGGCGAGGCGAGCACATTTGGCGTACGGTCTTGACCGACCGGACGCCTAGGCGTCGCTTAGGCGACGCCTTGATAACCCTGGTTCTAGGATTTTATGTGTGATACGTGTCGTTGTTGTTGTTCTTGCTTGTTATGTGATTATATGTGTTGATTGATTGATGATGATGAGTATCGTGGTCATTGCGCAATAGGCAGTGTAACTGATGATGATGATGATAATGATATGGATGAGATTGTGATTGGTGGAAAATAAACTGTTGGCAGTTGGCACCGCTTGTGCCCGGTCATTGTACTAAAGGTATAGACCATAGCGGTGACTGTGCTAAAGGCACACACCCACCTTCGACTAGCTTGCCGTTGAGTATTGGGTCAGGTTATAAGTGCTACGGTGTTATGTTAGAGCTATATGCGCTAACCCCTTGATATTGGCACTAGAGGTGCGGATCATTGAGTGGCACTGCGACACCATCTTGATATGTTGGTGGTTGAAAGGTGGGTTCGTCGGTGGGGGCATGTAGTTGCCCGGAGGCATAAGGGGTGGGGGATATAAGGGTGGCCGGGAGGTATAGATTGGAACTGATATAAGGACGGAGGGGAGTTATACGGTTGGAACTTGGTATAAGGTTGGAGGATGAATTGTGTGCTTTGTTGACGACTACTTGCTAATTGATTGTATTGAATGTCTTAGTTGCCTCTACTAGTTATTTGCATGATTATCTGCGTGTTATGTCTTGCATTGCATGTCTAGGACGCATATTCATTCTTATGATTATTGTATGATACTGAGTCTGTTAATATGCCTTGAGTCTCGATCTTGGATTTAAACTAGAGTCTTGCAAGTATATATGTATTCCTATTTCAAAATGAGTTTCTTATATCTACCTATATTGTACTTAACGCGTTGGAGTGGGTTACCAACATTATTCGCTGACGGTTGTTATACCGAATGTTTTTCAGGGACAATGAGTAGCTTCAGAGCGCGCTAGTGGATTCGTGGACTTAGTTTAGATAGTTCTAGCCTGGATGAGATGACCTGTGTGCCTTGATTTGTATTTGGGTATTAGTTATGGTTTATGCTTTAATAGTTAGTTTAGCCTGTGCGTCTGAGTTCTCCAGCTCAGATGTAGCATAACACCCCGACTACTATGTCTAGTTTATGCTCTGTTTAGGAATTAATAAGAGATTAACCTTTATTTTATGAGTTTTAAATATCTTGAAATTTAGGGGTGTTACACCTAACTCTATAAATAGGGGATTAGAAAGCAATTAGAACCCTTACCACCCATAGTTATATTACATGAAATTATTCCCAAGAGACTGGGCGAATAGATTCCCCACCACCAAGCCTAGGGAGATCAATCGGAGGGAAATATGAGAGAAGAACCTTAATAGCGAAGGGAGGATTAATTAAGGCTAAGAGGTAACCCATATCTTACAAAACCTATTTTCCTTGCTATATCCCGATTATTGGCTCCTTTGATAATCGTATGTGTGATTCCATGATTGAGTCTTGATAGAGCTTTGTCTAGGGTTTATGATATGTTTATTTGATAATCTTGATGATCTTGATGTTTTGATGAATTATATATGTGATCTTGCATTTGAGCATGTCTAGAGCTTGTCGTTAGGGTTTATTTGATGGGATCTTGATGTTCGTGTGATTCTTGTTGTTCTTGCATGTTTAGGAATTGATTCTTGAATCTTGATATGTTACCATCGTACCAGCGGGGGGTCGGTGGGGGCACGAACCCCCACCTGACCACTCGTCAGGTACACACCACGGTACCAGCGGGCGGCCGGCGGGTGGACGACCACCTGCTGTGCACCCGCTGGTACATGGTGCCGCCCACTGGCGGGTGGCTGGTGGGTGGTTGACCACCCGCTGGTACGGGCGGGGTGGTGCGTTGTTTGGTCTCGTTTTGTGTTTCCCCGTGCCCCGTTGTGCCCCGTTTGATGTTTATGAGTCTCGTCTGATATTTTGGGTACCGTTTTAGGAGTTATGAGTCGTGATTATTGCATGGGGGTTAAGTTAGTATCCCGTTGACCTAGGATGAGATTTGTATGATCCCGTGAGTGCCTTGTGGTTGTCTCGTTATCTTGGGAAGTAGAGTTTAGGTTGTATCTTGTGGGTTGCGTGTTATGTTGATGTCACTTGTTGATGTGATTGTTGTGTCTTCCCTTTGATTATCCATTGCTATGTGTTGATGTGTATTGGTTGCTGTTGTTATTGAGCGGTGGCCACTGCGTTGTTGTGCATGTTGACTGATTGATTATACTCGATGAGAAAGGGATGTGATTGGTGGAAAAGAATTGTTGGAGTTTGGCACAACGAGTGCCCGGTCATTGTGCTAAAGGCACAGACCATTTGGTTATCGTGTTGAAGGCACAAACCAATCTTGATAGTTTACTAAAGGCATAAATCAAGTTATAAGCACTGCGGTGCCATGTCAGAGCTATACGCGTTGACCCCTTGGTAGTGGTGCTAGAGGCACAGATCAGGCGAATGGCACTGCAGTGCTATCAGATCGGTGGCATGTTGGAGATATGTTGGAGGGGAGCCATGAAGTGCTTTGGAGGGATAAGGGGGTGGAGTTATAAGGGTGGCCTGGAGGTACAGGTTGGAACTGATATAAGGATGGAGAGGAGTAAAGGTTGGAACTTGGTATAAGGCTGGATTGTGATGCTATTGTTGTTGTTACCTTTGCTTGTCATTGTGCCTTATTGTTGTTGTTGTTGTTGTTTGCTATTGCTGAGCTTTGTGGTTATCTTATCTTGCGAGTTAGGACGCATGCTAGTATCTTTATGATGATTCGTAATGTTAAACTTGTTGTTGTGTCTTGAGTCTTGATCTTGGTTTTAAAGCTAGAGTTGTCTACGATTATATATATATTCCAGTCTCAAAATGGTTTGATAGGAATATTTTTGTAAGTTTTGATGAGCCAAATGTACTATAAATCTCCTTAGTTTTTAGGTCTCTAGTATAAGCATCATAAATCAGAATAGCGAGTCAAAGGAAATCTACCACATGAAGAACAAAATTAATTTGGGAAATTAATTTTGGTCCTACAAGTATTCATTCCAGAAAGAAGCATAAAGGAATGGCGTTGCAAGAAATGATTGGATGAGCCTAACGGCGAAATGGTAGAAGTTCTTACTTAAAATGATCATACCCGAGATTGATTTCCCTCAAGGACTTATTTTTTCCAAGGGAGCACAATGTTCCAAATGAATGCGGACAAGCACAATTTTCCAAAGGAGCACAATGTCTGCAGGAGCACAATGTTCTTAAAGGAGCATGATGCGGACAATCACAATGTCTGAAAAGGAGCACAATGTCTTTAAAGGAACACAATGTGAACAAGCACGATGTATCCAAAGGGTCACAATGTGACCAAATCAGAAGCACAATGTTCAAGTCAAACAAGCAAGAAGTGGCAAAGTCAAAGGAGCACAATGTGACAAAGAAGCAAGATGTTCAGAAAATGAATAAATTCGAAGGAATTTATTTTGGATTAGCCCACATGCCACAAGAATCCAAAATTGCCTGAAGATATTTGATCAGAACGGAAAAATATTTATGAAGACATGAATATAAAAACTTATCCTAGAAATAAATTCTATCAGAAGAATTTATTTCAAAGATTTGTTGGAAATTCAAATTGACAACAAAAATAATATTTTAAGAAAAAACTTGAAAATCAAGTTGAGATAAAATATTTTTTTTGTCAGGCAAGTTGACAATCAAATCAAAATTGAAGATCTACTATTGTCAACAATATCATGCTATGAAGATTCAAATTTCAAATATCAAATTATCCCACTCCAACGGATATATTTGATTGCCTATAAAAAGCCATGAAGACTTGAAGACAAAAAGAGACAGAGGTGAATACAAAAAATACGAACAAGTGAATTCACACGAGATAAGAAGTGCAAGTGCTCAAATATTCTTAGAGACTTTGTCTGAATTGTCTCAAAACTAGTTGGAGAGAAATACAATTACCTTTGTATTTGTAATTGTAAAAGGAGTATAGCTGTGTGCAAAACACTCGTAGTTGCTAAGTGTAGCTGTGTGCAAGACACTTAGTTGGCGTTGAGTATAGCTGTGTGCAAAATACTCGGAGTTGAGTATAGCTGTGTGCGAAATACTCGGAGTTGAGTGTAGCTGTGTGCGAGACACTCGAAGTTGGGTGTAGCTGTGTGCAAGACATCCGGAAGAAGTGTTTGTGTAGCGCTTATTCACTATTGTAACTGTGTGTGGAAAATAGTGAATTGCTCCTAGAAGTGAATGGAGTAAAGTGGACTAGGAAGATTACGTCACTTCCGAACCACTATAAATTGCCTCTCTCATTTACGTACCGCACTTATATAATTTGCTCTATCTATCTATCTTATCCGACTAACCCGTTTACTATTCACAGTCAATCTTAATCATTCGGGTTTAGTGTGTTTTTGTGTATGCATGTGACTCAAACTTCTCGAGCTTAAATAGTGAATTATTCTAAGCAAGTTTGACGTGTTGCATGTAACGTTCGTTACACGGTCGACGTGACACGACATTTATTTACAATCTTGAACATTATTGTTAAATATTGAGTGAACCATCTCCTTTATTTATTCAAGATATCTCTGTCACTTTACGTATCATTTGTACCCATCTTACATGCACATTTAAATTATTGGTTGCGCATAACTCTTTACATACTATTATTCCGCTGTGCAGTTCAAACTTACTCTATTTACTTGTTACTTAGAGTTGAAGTTACCAAAGAGTTATTTATTTATTTATTTTGAAAAAGCTTGAAAGTCTATTCACCCCCCCCTCTAGACTTTCACCACCCTATCGGGACCAACAATTGGTATCAGAGCGGTTATCTATTCGAGTCAATTTTGATTGCTAGACAGATCTCGAAAAATCAAGATGATGAAAAGAGATATGGCTCTTGCCCAAAACTTATTGTTTTCCTTAGAAAAATTTGATGATTGGAAAATTCGTATGCAGGTACATCTATCCGCATTACATGATGAAATGTGGGAAGTGGTTACGAGTGGTCCTATTGAGATTTTACAAGTCAACA